GCTTGAGACTCAGAGCTCTGAGGGAAAGGCTTGAGACTCAGAGCTCTGAGGGAAAGGCTTGCTTCAAGGTGAACATGACAAAGATCATCTCTTCACACTGCCGGCGGGTCCCGTATTCAAAGAGGCAGGAGAACAAGGGAGAGCCATCGGGTCCAACGCCCATGTACTGCAGATCCGAATAAGCACACAGGCCCCTGAAGAGGATGCTGGGTTTTGTCCAGTGTGCTGGATTTAAAGGGCTTTTGTTGAGGTAAATTCCTAAATCTTTTCGACCCTTTGGGTCTGTAGGGTGAGCATAGAGTAACCAACTGTCTTGGCACCTGGCATTAGGGGGAGGTGGAAAGGCAGTAACACTTCCATGGCATCCAAAGGGAGGTTCCACTAGCATTTCAACCCGCTGGCCTCCCTCGAAGTCCAGCCCATGGTTGTAGCTGACGGCCTGGATTCGGGCTCCCCTGGTGCTCCTCGCGTTGCAGTACAGGACCTTCCTGCCACAGGTGTGCACCTCCGCTACCTGGCACTCCACCGCGCTCTCCTCGCCCACGAAGTTGCCCAGCTCCCACGTTGTGCCGTGGTCAGAGCTGATGAAGCAGAAGGCATGAGGGGTGGGGTGCTGCTTAGGGTCCAAGATACGATAGGCATAGGCGGGAATCACCAGGCTCCGGGCCTCGTTGAGCAATTGTAATCCGTGACCCGGCCCCACCGCAAACGTGGCCCAGTTCTTGTACTCGGTCCTGATGGTGCCATCGGTGACATCCTGGGCAGTGCTCCAGGTGCGCCCTTGGTCCATGCTGGTGACGTAGCAGAGGCGTACCAGGTTAATCTTTGTCCTGAGCTGATGCTGCTCAGAGATCTTTCCTGGGACAGCTATGAAGAACAGGATCAGTTTCCCGGAGACCTCATCGTAAACCGGGCAGGGGTTCATAGATCGGTGGTCTTTCAGCTGTGCAGTGACAATGGTCTCCATGTTATTCCACTGCCAGGGCCCACGTGAAGGGAGACAAGAATGAAACACACCGTTACAAACAGATCCAAGCTAGAGTGCAAGGATGCCTGGACAAAAGTTACAGAAAAGCATGGGAAGAAAAGAAGAGAAGCAGGTTAGTGGATAGAGCAAGAAATGGGAAAACAATAATCTGGCATCACCAAAGGTAAGTGAAAATTCTTTGGATGACACAAAGCACGTGCACCTCACCAAGCAAGTGGGTTATGTCCCTTTTAATTACTACTCCCTGAGGAGCTGACAGCTCCATACCTCAGTGCAGCTGGTGACTGATGACACAGTCTGAAATGCTACAGGAGCTGAATTGCCAGAAATTCTCACAAATACGTGTTTGGCACAGACCTGGCCAGTGGTCAAAGTGTGCTGGTACAGACACTGTGCTGTGTCAATGCTTCTTAAGAGGCCACAGAGGTACCCGAGCCCTTTGCAAGCATCCTGGATGCTGACAAATTCCTTTCCATTCAAAATCCTATTCCTCCACTGTGATCCATGTGTGAATGGGCATCCCAGCCTACACTGAGGACCCTTGCTGGGCTGATTGCATGGCTTTCCATGCTCTGGTATGGAGATTTGGGCCCTGAGCTGTCCAATTCAGAAAAGGGCAGGTATAACTACCCTGCAAGCCCTGTCTTTCTTTAAATGAATAGCACCTAACACAATCACATTTCTAACACTAACATTGCTATTAGAAAATTATACCTAAATAGTGTTATTGGCTTTGTAAAAGAAGCAGTGGTTTCCAGTAAGATTATACTAATTCGCTTTTCTGCCCTGAGTTGCTGATTACCCTTTTTGATCATGTTTTCTCTTTGTCTATTCAGCCTATATTAACTTTTCTTGAATATTTAAGATTTCCATTTTAAGAAAATCTAACGTGAACACAAATGACTAAGTTTATGACCAACTGAGCCCTACTTAACTGAATTACAGAGAGTTACACAAGATGCAACCTGAATGGTCTGATACTGCAGATGTGCTCAGAGGCTGCTTCTGCAAGGCAGAATCCAGCTCTTAGGAGTGTACAATCAAAGACAACTAATGAAGGTTTGGAATACAAAAATATAATTACTTTTTTTCCCCCCAACACATTTATGCCTTTGCAAATGCACACAAATTACTATAAATAGAATACCCACCACCCCCAGCCACCTAGCAGGATAACTGTTAATAATAACTGGTAGGTTAATAAAGTAGCCAATTCCCTGGCACCAACACACCAGACAACGCTCTTTTGCGTGGGGAGACTTGCTGGTTTTAATTGTTTTTTAAACCAGAAATTAGTATTAAGATGATGAATTAAAAACAAAAAAAAACCCCAGTATCTGATGGCTAATTTACTTCTCCTTGTCCTTGTGCCACTCCCCATTTCTGCCTCTCCTCCACATCTTGGCTGCCACAACAGGACTTTTGTCTCCTCTCTCTGTCTGCATCCCCATCCCCAGTGATGGGTCCAAAGCCTCTCCTGAAGTATCTGCTGTACCTGCCCCCTGTTAGTCCCCCCACCAGCTGCCCGGTCACGGGGTTGAATCCCAGCAGTTTTAGCAACACGTGCATTATTTAGTGGCAGATTTGTCTCCCGTAACTGGGGAGGAGAAGCTGCCCCGTCCCTCCAGCAAGAGGGCAAATCCACTGAAGTGCTGTGGAGCCATGTGAGCAGCACAGGTGGGCAGTGCCCCCGCTCCCTCCCCACACTGGTACCTGGACGTGGTGCGTGCTGGGGTCGTACACGCCCCTGCGCATCGCTATGAGCTTGGCGTGTTCATCCACCACATCCTCCCGCTCCTCAGCAAACGCCAGGATCATGCTGAACCGGGGCAGGTAGAGCAGGGCTGGGATGCGATAGCTCCAGGTACCGTTCCGGAACAGCGTCTCTTGCTCCAAGACAGGGAACGAAGCCATTGTGCTGGAGGGAAGACAAAGCACATTGCATTTTGTCCCAGTAAAATGTGATGGTGTGCTGCTTTTTGCTCTTCTTGCTCAGTGGGGCCTGTCCTGCATTGAAACAATTTCTGCTACTTTCAGCTCTGTCTTTTTCTTCTGCTTTTCCGAAGAGAACCTGTATGTAGCAGAGTAACTGGAACTGAGGCCAGACTTACCCCAGGAGCAGCCTGGTTGATATGGCTGGAGTGTTGCAAGGCAAGTGCACTAAATACAGTTAATAAAAAAGCTGTGCTTTGTTTCGTCTTTTTAATTAAATTCACAGGCTGGGACTTTTGTGGGTTTACTCTGTAATTCAGAAGACTGTTGATAATAAGACATTGTAGCACTTGCCCTCAGAAGACCATTAACGTCTCTGGTGATGGTGTATCCAAAACCTGGCACAAAACTTCTGCTTTGCTAAATATGAGTTTAAAATTTCATATAAATGACACACTGAGGCAATCCCTGACCTCAGCTGTGCCCCAGCTTGGGGATGGCAAGCACTGAGCACGAATAAAGAAAGGAAGAGAACTTCCCTCCTTCTGTAAGATTAAAGAACAGTCTGAATGGTGTCCCATAGCTTTGGGTGGCAATTCTGACCAGGTGAAAACCTTGTCCTCTTTACAGTGACTTAAAAGCAATGTTATGAAGGAAAGCAAACATGAGGGAGAATTTAGGGAAGTTGCCTCTGTGTACCTGGTCTGTGCTATGCCCCACACAGTTTCTGTTCCTCTCCCAAGACCCACTCAGCCCACTGTCCTCTTGCACTGAGCTCCTCCTGTGAGCCAACCTACCCTGGTAGAAACCTAGTGGGCTTGAGGGAATTATCTCTGAGCAGGTGGGGGCAAAAATAAGAAAAATAAAAAAGAAAAAGAGAGAAAGAAAATACATGTCTCTGACATGATATACCAGAAACTGAAGGCTTGGATACCCCTTGCTCAGCAGGGAAGGGGAGAAGAAAAAAAAAGAAAAATAAATATTAAAAAATCAATCCTTAGATCTCTGACGCATCGAGTGGGTAGGATGGCAGGGAGAAGATCACAATACACTATGAGTAAGAAATTCAAATGCCTCCTACCTCAGCTGAGGCAAGACTTGCTGCACTCTTCATTGAGGATTCTCCTATTTATCCAAGTCTTGGAGAGTGCTATAGTAGCTACTGGACATGGATCAGATCCTGGTGCTTTTGAAGGCTCCCTTGATAATTCAGGCCCAGCTGTGGAGGCAGCTGCAGAATGCATGTACCTACCTGGAGAATAGTTTGCACTCTTCCATGTTTAAGAGGAAAGTTTGTATTAGCCAGCGTAACTAACCTTGACTAGGGCCACAATTTGTTTAAATTGTTTTGTTTTGCAGTGCTGATTCCTGAGTTAGGACAGCACAGATAGGCTGAGTTCATCCTCCTCAGACAGCACCATCACATTACACTCTCTCCAGATCCATAGCCAGACAGGGAGTGTTTCCTTGCTTTTGCCTTGCAGCTGCTATAAATACCAGTGAGATCTCTGAACTCACAGCATTGCTCAGAAGGGTCTGAACTGCACTGTTTGAGCTAAAGTGACCTGTACAGACTCAAACCCCACAGCCCCACTGCCACTCAGATCCAAAGCCACTGCAGAGGGAAGTCCATCTCCCAGCAGCAGCTGCTCCCTCCTCACTGTCACCAACTGTCACCTCACCGCTGCTGTACTAAATGTTTCCAGAACTGGATCCCAGCTCTCCAGGCAGTAACATGAAGGAAGCAGGAAGACCTTCCTAGAACAAATAGCTGTGCTGTTCACTACTTCCCAGCATGGCTGTGGCTATTTATACAGCCCACAGCCGTGGCTGTGTGCTCAAGGCTCCTGAAACAGAACTCACCAGCGTGCTTCCAGACTATTTAAAGGGAGATTATTTAAAGGGAATTAGTCAGCCTGTCTAGTGCAGCACAGGTTCCCTGGTGTTCCTGCTCATGGTACTGCAGTCTGCTGTTCTGATACTGCAGTCCTGCTTCAGGGCAGAGCAAGAGGGAAGGAAAAGAAACAAAAAAAAAAATATAAAGGGGAGGTAGAAAGAGAAAGAGAGATCTGGGCCATGAAGCCCTTGATGGAAATCCAGACCAGTGCCACAGGAGGCTGTGCTGCACCTGAGTCCCTCCCACATGAGCCTGTCACCTGCAGACACCTCTGCCCACACTCTCAGCCCTCCATGACACAGTCAGTGTGAGTGTCACAACACTCTTCCCCTTATTGCCAAAAGGGGATTGAGGAACTCACTGAACTGGGAATAGCTGCCATAGAAACAAGCCTGAGGCTCCTGGACACAGCACCCACAACTATAATCAAGGAAAATACTGGGACCAAGTGACTTCTCCATCTATCCAGAGACTAAAGAGAGGTATGTGTGAGTGTGTGTACATACACACATATACACACACTTGTATATGTCCTCCCTACATGCAGTGTGGCTCTTATGGCTGGATACATGTATATACACACTGTGTATCCATCTGCAGAGAAACTCTTCCATCCTTTTTTAAACACAGTTAAAGTCAGTATTCAGCTTCTTCTGCCTTCTGCCTCGTGGATCCTCCAGCAGAGATTGAGTCATAACAGTTTGAGTTTCACACAGAATCCAAAATGCAGGATCTTTAAATAAACTTAAAGTTCTTAATATTTATATATTAAAGAAAAAAATAGTGCTGGCTTTAGTTACTTCTCCAGCCAACTGAAAGGAATTGAATTTTTCTCTTGACCTCTACCCATTTTCAAAGGCAAACCCACTAACTAGACCCTCCTGAATAAAAGAGAAGTAAAACTGGCAAATCGTTGACAGGACAGCCACAGGAAGAGTGTTCCAAAGCTCATCCTCCAGCACTGCAGGAATTCAAATCAGAGACACCAGCCCCTCCAAGGCTAAATTGCCAGAGGATGCACATGTCCATGATGCTACTCTGCTCCTAAACTCTACTGAAATAGCAGTGCCTGGCCTGCAAGGAAGAAGAGAGTATTGCAGGCAGCATGACCCAAGGACACTGGCCAAGTTTGTAGATCACAGCAGTATCTTTTGAAATACCAAAAGCTATAACTGGGGAAAAAAAAAAAAAGATAAACTTCTGGAACAGAAAGGTCTGAAACACAAGCAGGAGACTGGAGAGCTGTTCACAAGAAGACAAAAATTGCTCAGATCTGCATCAACTCAATGACCCTGGAGAGAAGAGTTAGCTGTACTTTTTTGAGGTAAAAGAGTGAGAAAGGTAAGTTTTTCCTAGGAGAAAAGAACATAGCTCCTCACCTCTTCCCAGATGAGAGAGGTGCTGGTGAGGAGAAGGGAAATTTATCTTGTAGCCATTAAGCCAATATTCCCTTCGTCATTTTGGTATTTACTGGAGTGTTTAATTCATTTCCCAGGCTTATCCCTGCCAAGTGTCCTGTTCAGGGAGAATTATGTTTACCTGCAATTCCTCTCCAAGGCACAAGGGAAGCTGCTGCACCGAGATCCAGCACCTCACCTCCGGGCAGGACCAGGCAGACAGGGAAGGGTGAGCGCAGTGCAAACACTAAGAGAAGGGGGAGTTAAACTGGAGGAAGCCATTACTCATAGTTTGCAAGTTACACAGCTGTAATGATTTCCAAAGCAGAGACTGTTTCCAGCAAGAAGAGTCAAAAAAAATAACAGTTGTCAACAAATGAATCTGTGCTGGATCTAATGCCTGGAAGGAGCCCAAGTGGCAGTAAGGGATAGGTGCTGGCAGACACCAGGAGAGGGTACTTGTTCCTTCCTCATCTGTCCTTCAGGGCAGCTCACATGGACTTGTCTGTAGAGCAGGATGAGCCCTTGCATGTTTATTTGCTTTACCCTTCTCCAAGTGACTAAAAACGATAACATTTCCACTGGCCTCAGCTTCTGTACAAACCTGTTCTTAACATGTTCAGATCCAAGCTGAAATGACAGCGTGTCTTTAAAAACAAACCAGCAGAGATGAGGTAATATGCTGAACTCTATCCCTTGGTCTCCATCAGAGAGCTCTACACTCTGGGCAGCAGGCAGCTTGTTCTTCAATGATTTCAGATAGGTCCCGAATAAACAGACAACTCATTCAGGGAGGGGTTGGGGGGAAAAACACAAACAAATACAAAACCCAACTAAAACTCTGCTTTGCAAGGTAAGCACAAGAATCCAAGATGAGTTGTTCTGTGCTCAACATCAGACCTGGATTTACACTGTTTTCCAAATGTGTAAAGCATTTCAACTAATGCTGAAACACATTCTCTGTTTCACTTAAAGGAAAATAAGGCATTTCCACTGGGATATTGCATAGAGGGCTCCCAGGAGTAGCCATGTTCCAGTTGTATAGGACTAAGAAACAGAAGACCCGGTTTGCTTCTCGAATCCTTGCTCCACAGGGTATTCCTGTGTGGAAGCCCTTCCTCCCTGCTGAACAGCCTGCCTGTGCCTGTTTCTGCCACAGCCCAGCACTGGAGTGCTCCATCCCCAGCCTGCTTGTGCCCTTAGACCAGATCCCACACTAAATCTAGGCTATAGAAATCCATAACAAGCAGGCAACACACATTTATTTAGTCCAATAAATCACTCTCAATGTAAAGTCAGAAAGACGTTATCAGTGAAACTGTCAAACAATAAACCTTAAACAAACTAAACCATTCAAAATTCAAAACTGAAAAAGACACAAAACTGGAATTACTTTAATCCAGCAGCCAATTGGATTAAACTTTTTAACCACACTAGAAACAGAAAGTTTCTCTTGTGGTAAAAACTTCATACCACATTTACATGGGGATTTTCAGGCTCCCCACTACATGGTTTCCTAAACAATCGACCAAGTTCTGTTTTCCAACTGCTTTGGCTCAGCCTGGCAGTAGCTCCTGTGCCCTAGAGTGGAGGTTTTCTTAGCAATAGGGAGGAATTACATGAAGCAGTAGTATTTTTCTTAAAATATGTTTCGTGGAGGAATACACAAACTGCACTCCTACTTGAACCTCC